TGGGGAGACATCTATCAAGGAATATTTTGCCATAATTTTCCCATCAACAGTGGCGCCCAGTGCGACGGAAAGTTTTGTGGCCCGCCATGGGCAAAGTGACTTTTTTGCCCCCTCTATAGTTGTAAATCGAGGTTTCAAGACGATTTATACATATATGTACATACCCAAAATGGTAAAAATGGACTTAATGGGACCACTCAATTGTGCTCTCCAACAATTAAGGCAAGATTGAGACTTCTCGTGAAACGTAATCTATCATTTAAAGTGTACTTCTGATAAGTACCGGGGTAAATTTTGAGCTGGTTTCACAGTTCGGGCTGCAATAGTCCAAGGAAACGGTCCTGAACAAGGGCAATTAGGACCCCCACCCTTACCCCCCCCCTCCTCCAAACTGAACCTTCACCCTAAAAATCACATACAATATATGTGATGACTTCATTTTTATACACGAACAACTAGACCATGAACTCACGCTAGAATTCAAAAGGACTAGAACCAAGATAAGCTTCGGCTTCAGGCTCGAAAAATGGCTTATAAATCAGCTTGCAGACATTTCAAACAAAGGAATTTGCGACATGCTCCGCAATGTGTACTCGAGTTTAGAATTCAAGAAAATTACACGAAGTGAGTCTGAATAATGACCCTAATTTCTACTGTGATTCGGATTTGAATCACGCCGTCCCACCTGGCTTGTTTTTAAACTTAAAAATTGAACGAACTTCTAACCAAGGAATATAGTTGCAAAATAAAAAAAACGATGATGAGCATAGTATGCAAGAAGAACAGGCTGATCAAAGACTTATCACATGTATAAGTTGGCTGGAATGGTGGCAATATTCAAAGCTTCCAATGACCACCGCTGAGTTAAGGTGAAATGATGCTCCGCTAATGCTACTGGTAACACAACAAAAGATGCGGGTTGGAGTCCCGCGTGAGGCAATGTTGACTCAACGATAATTTTTGCACGACGAACTGCGGCCAAAACACCACCAATAATCCAAAACAAGGTACCATTCGGGATTCCCTCCCTTTAGTCACCTACAAAAGCCCGGATATAAAAGACAATGTGCATGAAGCAGCGGATTGACCAGGGCACAATGTAAAGGAGGACGAATCTAATAACGAAAAGTCTCAGCATTTTTCGGCGACGCCTCACCCTACATCTGGGAGCCTCCGTGTAGTAGGGGCGTACAAAATATGAATATTACAAAAGAACTTCTGCAGTAGTCTATGAATAGAAGCTACACAGAATATAACCAAAGATTCTCACTA